CCGTAATTATCGGTAGGATAAGACCTATGAAGCGATAACATGTAGAAGGAGTAAAGATGCTCCATCATGGATAAAACTCACAGAGCGATAACATGGAACATGTAAATACTCTCCATAATTCTCGGTAGGATAGGACCCATGAAGCAATACCGTGGAGCAATGATAACGTGGCGAAGGAGTATATCTACTCCGTATTTATCGGTAGGATTATCTATCCATCGTCAATGTGAAATAAAAGAAAGAATAAATATGATCCATAACTAGTGGTAGAAAGATAGCGATAGGAAATACGGAATATTCCATAATTATGGGTAGGATACGACCCACAAAGTGATAACGTGGAGCAAGGATAAGGGGAGGAAGGTGTAAATGTGCTCCGTAATTATTGGTAGGATAAGACCTATGGAGCGATAACATGAAGCAAAAATAACGGGAGGAAGGAGTACATTATGTGCAGATACTATGATTTCTTATTACCCGGTAGCCAAAAAAGCACACACTAATATCTAAAACTGATCTGGTACATTTTACAAGAAATGTGAGCTGGCCATAGGATTTCACACCGTGCCCCCGCGCGAGAAGCGTGAGCTCGCCCTTGTCGTGCTCATTCCGTGGAACACGAATGCCGAACCTGGTCAGTGGCGCGGGCGCACGGGGCCAAGTAGTTGGATCACAAAACCATGGATTCCAACCGTGCATTTTCGTTTCTGATGATGAAAGATTTTGGACCCTGATAAATCCCGAGCATTCAGATTTGTACCAGCTCATTTTTTTTGTTAGAAAATGTTAAATCCTGAACGTTGGATTTTAAGCATGACAATCCAAACGTTTTCATCGCGGGAACCAAAGTTTGCCTACCTCGCGGGAACCAAAGTTGCGATGAAAACGTTCGGATTGCCATGCTTAAAATCCGACGTTCAGGATTTAACATTTTCGAAGGTTATCTGTGTGTCCTCAAGTCGCTCATCCTCCTCCTTCAGAAAAGAAAGCTAGGGTCCTGCCTCTCGCCAGCGCCGCCGCAGGTCCGCCTTGTCTCCGGTGGCCTTAGGGCCATGGAGGCGCGATGGATCCTGCCAAGGGCGGGCGGGAGGGCTCCGTTTTTAGTCGTTTTTTCTGTCTTGTTAGGGTTTGTGTCCTGCATAGGAAGGTGAGACGACGGCGGCTCCCTGAAGATGGAATAGAGGTCTCCCGGCCGAGCTCCCGTTCCAGTGATGCGTCTAGCATTCGTTGGTGGGCGTGTGGAGGCGTGTCCCCGGCGGATCTATCTTTGGTGGATTTGCTCGGATCTCGTCGTTGTTCGTCTACGTTCGTGTGCCTTTGGGTTGAATCCTTCCGACCTATGTTATTCTTCATCGGCGGCGGTTGCTGTCCTGGTGCGCTGGTCCTATGAGACCTTAGTACGACGACTTTCCGACTGTCTACTACAACAAGTTGTGCCCGACTCCGATGATGAAAGGGTGATGACGGCGGCGCCTTCGGCTCGCTTCAGTGCTTGTAGTCGTCGCTAGGTCGTCTACGATTCTGGATGTAATTTTTATTTTTGATGTCCGTTGTACTGTCATGATTGAAGATCAATAGATCGGAAGTTAAAAAAAACATTTTCAAAGATTTTTTACGCGAGACACTGACCCGCTCCCTGCTGCTGCGCTGATCCATTCACCAACCCGTTGTGTGTGGGAGGGGGGAACCGGGAAAGTAAAGAACAGTCAGAGATGGTGGAAAACCAAGCAAGCAATGGTAGCATAGCATGTCCCGAGGGAGGGGATGGGTGGGGGACAAGACAAGTCCTCGTCGTCGCTCACCTGAACAAAATCCACACACCTCGCTTTCTTTACCTGCGGGGGATGGGCCGATCCGCATAGATTTTTTTTTTCCCATTAACGCCTTGGTCGCTCTCGTGGTCACATCACTTAATGCCAGGTCACGCCCCTAACAGCAACACGAACCCCGTCCCTCCCTCCCTCCCTCCCTCCTCGGAAAATCAATGCCGCAGCGCAGCGCCTCCCCCATCCATCCACATATCTTTCTTCAGACTCGTCAACGCCAATACAGATCAGATCAGATACACTCCTCCTACCTGCGCTACATACACCTAGATGGCTACGGGGAATGTGGTTGAGCAAATCACATGACATCGTGGTACTCTCTGATCGTCACTGCCAAGTCAGCGCGTGTTTGAGAATTCAGATCCACGGTACCACACGATCTCTAATCTGCCCTGCTAAATTATCACTGCCAAGTCGCTCAGATGATCAGGTGGGCAAGATACTGTCAGCGTGGTTGGGAATGCCTGCTTCACACCTGCTAGTGAATAGTGTGACGCGTTCGCGCATTGGGAGAGCAGGGAGATACTGTTGATTTGAACATACCCCCAATTAAGCACCACTGTACGCGCACAATTCAACATGGTTTTCTTTTTTTTGTTCTTCTCTCAGGCTACAGGAAACAGTAAGATTTTAAAATGGAGCAGGGAAGATTTACAAATGGTTACTGGTACAAGAAACTCCAATTTGGCTTGCTCTGAATCATGATCCTAGCAGCAGCGGCAGCAGAATGTAAGAGCAACTAGTGCAACCTTTGCTACACATGTTCATCCTCCTGAAGCCCGAAGGACGAGGAGCTAAATTGTCATCATGCCGGTACAAACAAACTTTAAATTCACCTCCAAGCTCAGGGTGGGTGGGTCCTTGACATTATTCAATCCTGCCTATATCATCTCTACTCGAGTCGACTCACCTATGCAATCTGCAACGGTAGATGATTGCATCACTTGTTTCGCGGGATCACGGCTCAAGTGTCAGTCGCCGGGATGAGCAGAGCAGACTGGCCCCTGGAGCCTGTATCCTCCGCGCAATTCGCAAGGATTCAATTTTCTTTCCTCAGACAACCAGCAACATGAATGAAAGTACTTACTAGCAGGCACCAAATTTTCACAACTTTTTTACCGTCTAAAATAATTGTCTCTAGGGCTAAGCTTTTATGTCATCAACAGCAAAGAACAAGGAGAGAACGGGAACAGCAATGACAAATATCCGCAACACAAGAACAGAACAGAAGCACTGGCCAAGAGAGAGAGAGAGAGAGATAGAAAATATGGATGGATTGGATGGATGGATGGGTGGGTGGCGGAGCGCTAATTCCCAAGAATTCTTGGCCTTCTATGATATGACGATGCGGTGAATCTTGCTGGGATTCCATGCCGATCTGTGGGAAGTAGCGGCGGCGGCAGAGGGGAAAACGAATTTTATATACCCGAGGAGGACGGACGGACGGACGCCATTCGATGCCGGTCACCGTCGATGTCGACGCTCAGTGCTCGCCGGAGGTCGGGAACAGCGTCAGCTCCCGGCGCCCGCCGCCGCCGCCGCCGCCGCGGGACCCTAGCTCCAGCTCCTCGGCGAAGGACGACGGCGCCATCATCCCCATCGCGGCCCCGCCGCCGACCATGCGGTGGTGCATCCCGGGCGGGCCGACTGGCGCGCCGCTGGCCACGGCGCGGCTCAGGAAGCCGTGGTCGAAGCCGCCGCCTGGCCCGGCGCCGTAGTGGCCGAACGGGCGCGCGGCGGGGTGGTGGAAGTGGCCGATCTGCTGCGGGTGGTGGTGATGGTGGTGCGCCGCGGGGTGGGACGGCATGGCGGCGTAGGGGGTGTAGGGGTCGGCGACGGCCGGGCCGCGGCCGGGCGGGAGGAACGGGGAGGGCCCGGTGGCGAAGAGGTGCTCGGTGGCTGCGTCGGTCCCGGAGCCGGAGGAGTGGCTGCCTCCCCCGCCGCCACCGCCGTTGCCGAGCCCCTGCATGCGCTTGAGGTAGAGGCGGTACTTCTGGAGGTGGGACGCGACGTTCTCGCGCGTGAGGCCGTCCACGCTCATCAGCTGCATTATGGTCTTGGGCACGGCGTTCTTGATGCCGAGGTGCGCCACGGCATCAACGAAGCGCTTGTGCAGCTGCGGCGTCCACACGAGGCGCGGCCGCTTGAGGGTCCTGGCCGGCTCCTCGCCGTTGCCGCCCCCGTTGCCGCCGCTGGAGCCGGCGGCCGAGGACGCGCCGCCGTTCATCTCCTGGCCGCCCGCGCCGCCGGCCCCGTCGGCGCCGCCGCTGAGCGGGCCGCCCCCGCCGTGCGTGGTGGGGATGTCGAAGGCGGCGGCGAGATCGCGGGTGATGAGCGACTGCGAGAGCGGCATGAGCTCGTCGGGCGCCGGCAGGTCCTCGTCGAAGCGCGCGAACCAGCTGGGCTCCTCCTCCTCCCTCATCCTCGCGGCCCGGCCCGGAGCGGAGCGGAGCAGAGCAATTCGCCGCCTTGGCCGCAGTCGTCCGCTGGCAGCAGCGGCGTGCTCTCGCGCTGGGAGGAGGGCGTGGGGAGGAAGGAGAGGATGGGGAGGGAGGGAGGGGGGTTACTTCGAGGTGGATCTCTCTTCTTCTAAGCTTTCGTGGCGCTCTCTCTCACTCGTTTGGGTCTTTCTTTCTGCCCGCTGCTGCGGCTGCTGCTGCGATATCCCCCTCTTTTCTCTCTCTCCCCCCCTCTATCTATCAACAATCTGCTCACACCTTTTTCACCCCTTCCCTCTCCCTCTCTCTCTAGGACGGACGATAGGCCGACGATGAGTGAGGAGGAGGGTATCTGATGAGTTCGGGAGTGGTGCGGTGCAGTTCAACTAGTGGGCTGCCCCGCCCTGCCTCCGTCCGTCCGGCTTTAAAGCTATTTTTGTGCTATCCTCGGTTGCTTTCTTTGTTTGCTCGCTTGTTGGTCCTGCCTTCACACTCGATTTTAATTGTGCGTGATTCTCCTCCCCCTTTCCCCTCTCCTCCTACATATCCTACATAAATACTCACTAATAACTTGTCGCAGGTATGGATGTATCTAGATGTATTTTAGTTCTAGATACATCCATTTCTGCGACGAGTAATTTAGAACGGAGGGAGTACGTAATAATAAAGAGGAAAAGAAAAAGATAAGCCGAGCGATTTCGTTTTTCCGGGATTTCCGGGGCGCATATCTACACAACACATGCACAGGGTGACAAAACAAAAACACTGGACTGGAAAAGGACGAGACGGGACGAGACGACGGGGAGATATCTTCTTAGCTGGAGTTTGGTTTGTCCTCATGTGGACATGTCGCTCGCCTCGCCCCGCCGGATCAAACCGAACCGAGCCGAACCGGGGAGCGGGAGTGGTGTGGTGGGGAGGGGGAATCTCGTGTGGCTCGTGTGGCCTCGGGGTCGAGGTGGATATCGCGCGCGTCCCGCGTTGGTTGCCTGGACGGACGGACGGACGGAGGACGGATCGATCGTCTGGACCGACTGGATCTATGCACGCAGGGGTGGGAGGGAGGGCTGGATCTGGTACGTGCTCCCACCTAGCAGCTGCTGCTGCTGCTGCTGCCGCAGGTACAGCCGTTCAGCGTCTAGGAATGTAGCAGGAGTAGGATTTGGTTGGGTGAATCTCATGTCGCTGTTCCGGTTAAAAGTTACTAAAAAAATCGTATTTCACTGGATTTGATTGTGAATGCAGCGGTCAAAGGCTCCTTGCATTCTCACCATTTGTTTTAATGGGTACACCTATCTCGCTTTCAATCAAGCTAATAAACATGGCCTATTGGGTCTACTCTCGCAGCTTCTTCTTTTTTTCTTTCTGCACAGAAAAGGGAAGTGGTAATACTGGTAATAATTGAGGAAAGGCAGGATTCAATTTGGATTTGTTCTCGGCAGTGGCAATTGAGCCGGGGACAGCCGTTTTACCACCAATTGATTGGTGGTGTTATCCAAGTCTTTCGAAAATATTTAATAGAGAAATGGATGTATCTAGACGTATTTTAGTTATAGATACATTCATTCTTATACATTTCTGCGACAATTACTTCTAGACGGAGCGAGCGCTAATCTTCTATGGTGCACTACTCTTATCCATTGATGATGAAAATTAAATTTATGTCTAAAATGAAAGATAATGTGTATCTTACAGGGAGGTGTAGCATTAATTTATACCATATTTGAGTTCGGTTACACAACACAGTTCCTAACAAAATTACCATTGCGGGCTTATTTTGTTTGTAGGATCTAAAAATACCATGACAATAAAAGATAGATTTTTTTTTTATTTTAAAGAAATGGGTTGCAAGACATAAGGCCAACTTCACCGCGCGTCCCCAAACAGACGTCCGTTTTACCCGGATTCTATCCGTTTGGGTAGGGCGATGGGGTCGTGTCCGGGCCTGTTGTCGGATGTGGTGACCGTGCGATCAGTGCGCGGCCGCATCCTTTGGCCCCATCTTGTCCGTCTTCATTTTAAAAACAACAGCGTTCGAACTACCAAGCCCTAGTTCAGGCCAGCGGCCCTAGTTCACACCGGCAACAGAGCCAGCGGCCAGCAACACAACCAGCCTCCAAAACGAATAGTTTTGTTCGCCGTCAACACAGCCAGCCTCCAAAAACGAATGTGTTTCTCACCGGCACACAACCAGCGGCCCAGCGAGCGGCACCCATGCCAGCCTCCAAAAAAGAACGGCCACGGCCGATCGAACAACCTAGTTCAGGCCGTCGGCGTCGAACATCTCCTTCTGCCCGCCTCGAACCGGCTCCTCGTCTTCTCGCTCATCTTGGTCAAATCCACGCTCATGATCGCAAGGGCCACCTCCTTTACTTTGGTTGCGGCATTGGTGGCCTCGATGTCGAGTTGCCTCTGCTTGGCTGTGACATTGGCGGCCTCGATGTCGAGCTGCCTTTGCCGGGACGCCTCCTCCAAGTCGATCTTCCTTTTCTTGGCCGCCTCCTCCATCTCAAGTTTCTTCCTTTGAAGCTCTAGGTATTGCTTCATTTGCTCGTCCTTGCTTTGCCGCTTCTTCTCGTCCCTCACATCCTTTTGAGACATCATGCCATGCAAAGTCTCATGCAAGGTCATGGATGAGGCATCACGTATGTCGTCCACCTTGGAGTTGGTCTTGCCCCTTGGCCTCTTCAACGCCTCGCCATCTCCACCTTCGGCCAACTTGGTCGTCTTCTTGCCTTTCTTCCTTTGAAGTTCACGTATTGATCCTTGAACTTGGGGCAATTGTTGATGATCGTCCAACAATGCGTAAGAGTGAATGGCTTGTCATTGTGCCGGGCCTTGAATGCTTCCAAAGATTAAAATGCCTACACCACATGATCAACAACAATTGAACATGCAAACATATACAAGGCCGAAGTCTCATGGCCGTAGCAACGAAAGAACTAGGATGAGGAGAGCATACCATGTCCCCAACGCCGAGACCACTCACGGGCCGTTCTTCAACGCTCTCAAGTGCGGCGCAATACTTGTTGCATTCTTGTTGGATGAACAACCACCTCTTTTCAATTGAGGTGATGCCACGGTTGCTCGTAATTTGATAGGGCTCAAACATCTTCCTTCATGGAATGTTTTGTGGACTCTCTTCCAAAAAACAAGGCCCTTTTGTTGCGCGCCGGTCCTCGGATCTTGGCTAATCTCCATCCAACATTGGCAAATCAACTTGTCCTCCTCTTGTGTATATGAACCCGTGCGAATGCTCTTCCTCCTTTTTTGTGATTCCGCTCTTTGGGTGGGCTCGTTGATGAACAATGGCTCGCCACTAATATCAATGTCATTGCCTTCTTATTCATCATCATCACCTTCGCAATAGATGTCATCGTCTTCATGCCATGAGTCACCATGGTCGTAGTCAGCACGGCCGTTGGCCTCTTCATCGGCAACGTACTGGGCGCGGCCATCGTGACTTTGGGTCTCCTCAGGATCATAGGCACGGCCATGCCCACCCTCGTAGATCACATCCTCCATGAACTGGTTGTAGAAGGGGTCGTCGACCGACGGCGTTGGTGTCGGCATTCCGTCGAACAAGACGTGGGAGGGGGCGGCAGGATTCAATTTGGATTTGTTCTCGACCGTGTCAATTAAGCCGGGGACAGACGTTTTACTCCAATTGATTGATTGGTGGTGTTATCCAAGTCTTACTACTACTATAATGGTTCAGAATATTTAGTATTACCCCCTTCGAGAATATTTAACGAAGAAATGGATGTATCTAGACATATTTTAGTTGTTGATATATTCATTCTTATACATTTTTGTGACAAGTAATTCTGGACGGAGCGAGTACTACTCTTCTACGGTGCATTACTCTTATCCATTGATGATGAAAATTAAATTCATACCTAAAACGAAAGATAATGTGTATCTTACAGGGAGGTGTAGCATTAATTTATGTCATATTTGAGTTCGGTTACACAACACAATTCCTAACAAAATTACCACTGCAGGCTTATTTTGTTTGTAGGATCTAAAAAACCACAATAATAAAAGATAGAATTTTGATTTTAAAGAAATTGGTTGCAAGACATAAAGAATGCTCCAGCCACCCCGATTTGCTTAGAATCTTATGCATTGTTTGTCAAACAAAAGAAATGTCTAGTTCAATTTGTTCAGGACAAGAGATTTTTTCCGCGAGGGAAGAGGTTTTGTTGTTGTTAAAACGAAGGAAATCCACCTCAATACAATAGTTGTAATTAGGACAGAATTACTCTCGCGCGGCGGCTTGCAGTGGCGTAGTTAGGGGGTGGCCAGGATGGTCCATGGACCACCCTGAATTTTCCCCATAGCTTGTATATAGTGTAGTAAAAAAAATATTTCTTCGAAAATAAATAAACTTATGTAAGTATTTCTATTGATGGACCATCCTGGCTTATCGGGCTAGCTACGCCACCGGCGGCTTGTACTTAATTCTACTCTCTAGATTAATTGTCATCATGTAGTTGGATTTTTCTAAAAAAAATTGCAACGGCCACTCAAACTCCTTATCCTCTAGTGCCATCAAAGTTTTGTCCTTTACAGTAACAGCTTGCGCGATCCTCATTATCTGTGGAGTAGGTTTTTACCATTTTATGGTCTGATATGGTTGTAGTACCTCCGTTTCAGTTTATAAGTTCTACGCGTATACCTAGGTTATCAATTTTATCACCTTAATATAAACTATATAACATAGAAATTATACAGTTTGATAATAGAGCATCTGAAGTTTATATTGGTATATTTTTTGTAATATATGACTTGTATTAAGTTGGTCAAATTAACGACCTAGGGGCACGCGCACGTCCTATAAACTGAGAGAGAGGTAGTAGTAGAACAAAGCAAACATTCATTACATTGCATGCAAAATAGTTCGTAGGAAAAATTCCCACCGCAGCTGTACAAATCAAACAAAACAAAACTTGTATTCATCCGCCAAAAAACAATTGAATGA